TTCATGTATGTTTCGAAAGTCAATGAACTTACCATGTCGACACATATTTGCTGCTCGCCAGTTGCTTGGGATAAATTTATTCGATACTGAGTTGTGTTCTAAGAGGTGGACATTAAAGTACTATCGTCAACATCAACGGGCCTTTAGTACTTAAGTCACGGATGGAAAGCCTGGAGCTGTAGATTTTCATGTTGCTCCAAAAGTAAAAGTGCATTCTCAGCATGAGAAGTTTAAACTTGCCATACAGGAGACATCACTTCTTGCTACCCTTGTATCTGAGTCCACAGGTCAGACACTTGAACAACGTCTTAGTCTTTTGCGAACTTTAAGTAAAGGTTGGTCAGATGGAAAGGTAATGGTACTTAACGAACTTATTGAAGAAGATGATTTAGTAACGTGTGAACAAATATCTAAACAAACAGGAGTATCATCTCATACATCAATAGCAGCAACATTAGTTTTTTCTGATGTTAATTTAACAACATTTTCTGCAGTCGGAACAGTCAATTCAACTTGTTTACCTGTTAGTGTTGATGTATCAACCTTACAAGCTGGTATTTGTTCAACAAGTTCTTCTACTACAGTTAGTGCATCTAAAAACGTTGCTAGCACATATTCAATAAATTCATTGGAATGTGCAGCACACGTAAACGATGAAGTCACTTTAATAGTTCCAAAAGTACTCAATTATTCCGCTTTCCCATCATTGAAGTCAAAACGGAATAGTATCGAAAATTAACTGATCGAAAAAATGATTGGTATCGAAAAATAACTGACCGAAACTCATTTTAATGATTAAGATCGAGAATGTGATTTTCAGATTAATATCGAAAAGTTTTTATATCGAAATTCACAAATTTGGAACAATATCGAAAACAATAAAAACGGAATAAGATCGAAAACTCATTTAACTGTTTAACATCGAAAATGTGATTTTCTGATTAATGTAGAAAAGTTTTTATATCAAAATTCGCAAATGTGGAACAATATCGAAAACAAAAAAAAATGAATAAGATCGAAAACTCATTTTTATGATTAACATCGAAAATAAGATTTTCTGATTAATGTCGAAAACAATAAAATCAGAATAAGATCGAAAACTCATTTTAACGATTAACTTCGAAAACGTGATTTTCCCATTAATGTCGAAAACAATAAAAACAGAATAAGATCGAAAACTTATTTTAACAATTAACATTAAAAATAAGATTTTCTGGTTAATGTCGAAAACAATAAAAACGGAATAAGATCAAAAATTTTTAATTGTCAAAAATTCTTTTTAATTTATTTATTTATTTATGCTCCTTGAGATTCAACGCCATGTTGAATCTATTATGAGTCATTGCTATTAACAGTTTCATAATAGTCATAAAGATCAGAGTTTCATTATAACCATATGTTTATCAAGCTTGTCCTTGAAGATATTTATACTTTTCGCGGAGATGATTTCTTCTGGTAGTTTATTCCACCATTTTGCAACTCTATTTGTAAAAAAATTTTCCCTTGGTCTGTTTCTTTTTATCAGCTCAATATCTACACGTGCTTTATGTCCTTTAACGTTTGAAGCTGGACCATTTGCTGAAATTGAAATTGCTGTTTTTGGTTGTTGATACCAACACACTTTGTCCAAATTATGAAATATTTTATAATATTGAATTAAATCATATCTTAATCTCCTGATTTTTAAAGAAGTCAGTTGGAGTTTTTTTAACCTTTCTTCATAGGGTAAGTGTCTTAACTCTGGAAACAACTTTGTTGCTCGTTGTTGAACAATTTCTAATTTATGTATGTCATTTTTATTATAAGGGTTCCATATTGGTGATGCATATTCAAGAATAGGTCTTACAAAAGTGCAATACAAAATCTTCATTGTGTTTTTGTCTTTGTAAGTAAATGATTTGCTTAGTAGACCTAATCGACTATTTGCTTTATTTACAACCATATTTACATGTTGATTTCACTTCATAGTATTTGAAATTAACAATCCAATGTCTTTTTCATTAGTTGTTGAATCTAATTTTGAATCTTTTATAAAATATTCAAAATTCTTATTATGCTTTCCAAAATGCATGATTTTACATTTTTTGATGTTGAAATGTATCATCCATTTGTCAGACCATTCAGTTAGATTATTAATATCGTCTTGCAAGCTTTTTGAGTCTACCTGGTTGTTAACTACAGCTATAAATTTGTTGTTATCTGCATAAAGTTCGCATTAATTTTTAATTTTAGACGGTAAATTATTAATATATAACAAGAACAATAATGGTCCAAGCACAGAACCCTGTGGAACACCACTTAGCACCTCTAACCAATCTGATTTTGTATCACCAATTATAACGCGTTGTTTTCTATTTGATAAATATGTTTCTTTCCAATTTAGCATTTCTTTTTCTATTCCATAACCACATAATTTTGATATTAATCTCTTATGAGGCACTCTATCAAATGCTTTTTGAAAATCAGTATATAAAATGTCTATTGAATTGCCTATCATTAGTTGGTATGTTAAAAAATCTTAGGATTCTAATAAGTTTGTTATACAATTTTTATTCTTTAAGAAACCATGTTGTTGTTTACAGAAAAGATTATTTAATTCTAAATAGTTTTTTAAGTTATCATTTATAATTTTTTCTAGTACTTTGCAAGGTATGGATGTCAAAGATACTGGTCGATAATTTATTGCTTGCAATTTACATCCATTTTTAAATATGGGACTCACATTTGCCATTTTCCAGAGATTAGGAATATCACTATTTGTTAGACTTTGTTGATAGATAATTGAAAGTGGTATTGAAAAACTTTCAGAGCAGACTTTTAACACATAAGGATTTACTTCGTCATACCCACTAGACTTGTTAATGTCTAATTTTGACAAATATGATTTCACAAGCGCTTGATCAACGAATATTTTTCCAAACCTACTATTTGTTTGTACTTCAAAATTACAATCATTTATTTTTTCTTCTTTTATGTAGACAGAATGAAAATACTTGTTAAAAACATCGACAAAACTATGTTTGTCATATTTTTGAACCAATATTATCATTAAGTGCTCTCATATGATTTTTTACTTTCTGCTTTTTTCTAATATATGAATATAGTAATTTAGTTTCATTTTTTAACTGATTTACCAAGTTTCTTTCGTAATTTTTAACAGAGTTATTTATTTGTTTTAAAATGTTTCTTTTTATTTTATTATATTTTTCTTTTGAGCCAGCTATAGACCAGTTCATTTTTTTATTTGTTGTCCAGTAATTATTTTTGTACTTGATTTCTTTTTTCAAGCTATTTGACATCCCAAACTTCACTTGCTTTATTTTTTAGTTTTACAATAGGTATATAATTTTTGCATGATTGATTATAATGATATAAAAATTTATCATAACATTTGCCAATGCATTTGTTTTGAAATTCGTCAGCCCAATTTATGCTTTTTATATAAACATTAATTTTTTCATAGTTTCCTCTACGATATGCAAATTTTTTAGTTGATGAAGAGATGTCATCTATTCGATCATTAATTTTATAAAACCATTTTAGAATATGATGTCCTTCACTACTCAAACCAAGTGGTGGCAAATGGGATAAACCAAAAATACGGTTACTATCATCTACAATTACTAAATCAAGTTTATTTGTTAATTCGTTTTCATTACTTTGAAATGTTGCTTCAGTAACACATTGTTCAAAAAAACAGTCATTTAAACATGCTACAAAATCTTCAGCTTGTTGGCTATGTGATTCTTCAACACTGTCTTTCCACTTTAAAGTGTTGTAGTTACAGTCATTTGTTATTAATATACTAGTGAATTGTTTTTTATCTTGTGCTCTTTTAGCTGCTATAATAGAATTTATAATATTTTTATTAATGACACAGGATGAGTCAGGGGGACGATATATGCAACCTAATAAAACCTTTTTTTTGACCATACTCAATCCATGTCCATATTTGCTCGATTAGATCGGATTTAAGTTCAATATTACTGATTTCATATGATTTTATGGAACTATTAACGTATATACAAACACCACCCCCTTTTTTACCATTCCGCCGATTGTTTCTATATATTACATAACCCTCAATATTGACATCTGATAAAGGTGTATACCATGTTTCAGTAACAGTAAAATTCTCAATACCAATTAAAGCTCTAAAATCATTTTTTTATTGTTTAAAGAGGTTGAACTTGTATAGTACGCTATTAGTCTTTTGTTACTATTTAATAAATGTCTATCATTAGGATTCTTTGTTATATTATTTAAATTTTTATATACCTTTTTTGGAGATATCTGTTGATATGGTTGTGTTGATTCATATAGCTACTTTTTTAACAGTTTTACAACACGTTCATTTCTAATTCCATAATAGTATTTTAGGTCTTGGTTAGCTTCATTTAATTTAGCACGTTCTTCTCTAAGAGCTTTCATCTTAAATCTTTCTGCTTCTGTCATGTCTGTATTAATAAAGATATTATTAGTTTCAGATGAATTTTGTAAGTTTTTAGCAGTTTTTAATACAGCATTTTTTTCTTCTTTGTTAGTTAAAACAACAATAACTGGAGGTGGTTTGTCGGTTCTCATATTTAATTTAAAAACTCGCTGAATAGTAACTTTAACATTAATTTCTTTAAATAAATTTTGTAACTCTTGTTTGTCATCTTCTTTCGCCACGCTTTCGTCCTTATTTGTAGAGGTTTTAAATCCAAAAACTACTAAATTTTTTTGCCTTATTTCTCTGTCATGAGATTCTTTAACCACTACATTTAATAAATCCAGTTGCACAGATGTATTTTTTTTCTCTCCCTTTTACTGCATCGGACCATGTATTTGATACATTGTTTGAGTTTGATACGAGTTTTGATTGATTCTTCATATCATTTACTACTATTTTGAGGTCATTTATTTCTTTATCTTTTATTTGGAGTTCCGCTTCCAATTTTAGTACTCTACTAACTAAAGCTTCGAAGTCTTCTTTTCTTACCATTGTCAAATTTGACAAGATAAGTTTATCTTTTATTATTTAGTTATTATTACAAAATGTTTATGTTTTCTTATTTTTTCACAAAGTCACGTCTGCCATCTTTAACTGCGCGCGTTATTAAGATGATTATATAATGATTATTAATGATTAACATCAAAAACATGATTTTATGATCACACTTTTGTTTTATAAAAAACTAGTACTAGGAGAAAATCTTAAGAAATTCACTTTCAAAAAGAAACTTATTTTTTTAAGTTTTTTTTTTAAGAAACTTATTATTATTAAGAGTTTGATGAATATTTCCTAACTTTTCACCCAAATATCGCATCAGCTTAACAAAGTTAGCATTACCTACAATGGAGAACAGCAGTTTAAATGAACAGTTAATTTGCACGCGCAATAAACAGTTTAATTTGCACGTGCAATAAAATTCCGTTTGAATTACAACTTCAAATTTCAGAAACTTTTAAGAAACTCAATATTCTAAAATGTTGTTAGAGAACTTATCAAAAAATTATAATGAAACTTAAAGAGAAAGAAAAAATTCAAATGTGTTTTGGTCTGGTGATTTTAGATACACTAAAGATAAACTTTATAAAGACAAACTGTATCTTAAGTGTCGTTTTTTTACAAGAATGAACTGCAAAGGCAGAGCTTTTATTCATGAAGATAAACTTCAGGTTACAACTGTTCGCAGTTGCAGGATAACGTGGCATTGCTGTTTGGGCATATGCTAGTCATCAACAAAGCGAAATTGGCCAAAGTGTGTTTTGATGATAGAACATTTAGGTATTTATACGTATGCATTTAACTTTTTCAAAAAAATATATGTACTAGAAGAACATATATTTTTCTAGGGGGCTGTCCATTAATTACATCAACAAACTTTTGGCTATTTTTACATTACCCCCTCCCCCATGTCAACAATTTGTTAAATTTCCAGAGACACTTCTTTCCCCTTTAAAGTTACGTCAATTTTTGATAACCCTTCTCCCCTAAATAAAGACGCTGCGCTAAAAACGCAGGCAAATTTTTCTTTTTTTGAGTAACGAAATTAAAAAATAAAGCAACATTGTCGATGTCAACTTTACTTGACCTCCTCCCCTCACCCTTAGCAAAAATTTTCAAAAAAATTTAGACACCTTCTTCCTTATTTTTTTAACGTTATTAATGGACAGCCCGTAGACGAAAAAAGTGATATATTAAAAACGTTAGGTAGAACACTTTTATTTACAGTTGTAAATTATAGTTACATTTATTGTACTTCCAGTATGTTACCACGCATGGAGGAAAGTAAGTGGTATCAGCTCTTGATATTTTTTGTTGAGTATTCAGCAGTACTTGAAGATCCAATTCCAGATGAGGATCAGATGAATTTTGATCCTGATAACCTTTGGGGAATATCTGTTCCAGCTGTATGCGCTTTAATGACATCGAAATCCGAGACTCTATACAAGCTTGTTTTTTCCAAAATAAAAGAAGTTTTAGATTTCTCTCCAGCCACCATTATGTCAGATTTTGAACGAGGACTACAGAATGCTTTAAAAACAACTTGGAGTGAAAGCTTGGTGAATGGTTGCAGGTAAAAGTTGTTACTTTGTTATTACTTAGTTTCCAGTTTCTAAGTTATCCAAGTTTTTCAGAGTTTGTTATCAATTAATGATCTCCTTTAAAGCCTTATCTTTAGGTTTTATTTCAAAAATGCAATCACCAAGTAATTCTTGGTCTTCAGAGGGAATACCGCCACCAAATTCAAGTAAAGAAGTGGGCACGAAAAGTTTCAGCACTTTTTCTCCTTTCTGCAAACAAGATCTTGGTTGCTTGAAGATCTCGAGTTATTGAGATTGCACAATTTAGTCGCGAAATCAAACTCAAACTACTTGCTTTTAAAAGGTATTTTGAGAGTTATTAACTCAATATAGTGACCCCAGAAGGATTCAGTGTTTATGGCTTGAACCACAAAACCAATAACAATGCAGAGAGTCTCAATAGACGTTTGAAATCAAAAATGGGTGATCGACATAGAGGATTTTGGCAGTTTATGAAATTGCTTAACCTGCATGTAAAAGTCCATACAATTCAAGAGCTTCAACAGCCTGCAATCAGCAACTTGCAACAGCAACTGCAACTTGCCTGCAATTAGCCAGTCCGCCGTGACCAACGCGACTATGGTGCAATTGAAAAAATGCGTTGTTTTGAGAAAAAACTTCTAGACCGAGTTTGGACAACTGAGAGATTCCTATCAAAAGTATCATATCTCTTTCAAAACTTCAAAGTAGTGTAAGATAATTTTCCAAGTTTTTGTATAACACTTCTTATTTATTAACCTTTATCAATTTTTTTACCAAACAAATTAGTTTAACTTTATTTGATAATCTGTTATTTTCCATGAAATATGGAAAATTGTATTTTAAGTTTTTAAATATTTTTAGTGGTTTGGATGAAAACTCAATGAAAGAGGATGGTGAGAGTCTTCCTTTGCCAACTTCTACTTCAACAGAGTCACCGAAATGCGTTGTTTGTACCGTCAATGAACGAAATGCATTAGTAATGCCTTGCAGACATTTTTTGTTTTGTCAACCCTGCATTCAACAAGTCCAAAAAAGCAACAAAACTCATTGTCCCACTTGCCGAGGACCATTATCATCTATAATTGAACCTTTTCAATGATTCAGAAAAATTTTCCCTTTTACCTATATTTTAAAAACTAGAATGTCACACAATTGTTTAAATTTATTTAAAAAAATTTATTATATAAAAGCGGTATAATTTTTTTCCTATTGCTCCGCCTGGAATGAAAAATAACCAATAACGTCATTTTTTAGTTTACATAAATGACTTTGAATTCCATTTGGGCCTACAAGATTTTCCGTAAGTTGGCGTATTGTATTGGTTTCAGTTGAGCAAACCCCATATTACGTTAAGGATAAGTACTAAATAAACAGTCTTTACTGTTGCTAGGGGTGGGGAAAGGGAGGAGATAATCGTGAGCGATTGACATCTTTTTTTTGACCAAATGCTCTTAGTTTCACGTTATAAAAATTAATTAAAATTTTCTAATCTTGACCACAATTTTCTCCGAAACGACCAACCTAACCTCAAAATCTTTACGATATGGGCTTGTATATTTATAGAAGTGCTTTAAAAAACAAGTGCAGTTATTTGTATGTCCAAGAATTAGAAAAATTTCTTGAAGCGGATAAGTTGAATGTGATTCATATAAATATAAGAAGTTTGATAAAAAAACTTTAAAAATTTTCGTAATTTAATTGATGAAACTTTTAACAATTTTAGCGTAATTTGCTTAACAGAAACTTGGTGTGATTCTGATGACGTTTATTTTATTTCTAATTTTAACTTGCCTGGATATAAATTGATTTCATTAGCGCGTAAAACCAATAAACGTGGTGGCGGCGTGATTATTTACGTAAAGGAACGCTTGAAATTGTTAACCAGGCTCGACATGAATATCTCTGATAGCAATAAAGAGGTTTTATCAATTGAATTTATTATTAAAAAAGCTGAAAATATTATAATTAGTTGTTGTTATTGCCCACCATCTAATGTAATTGAAAGTTTTAGTTCATATTTACATCATGATATAATTAAAAAAACCAATCATGAAAAGAAATTTAACTACTTAATAGGTGATTTAAATTTATGTTGCTTCGAATATCACGTAAAACCCAACATTAAAAGTTTTTATAATGACATTTTTGAAAATGGTGCGGTTCCACTAATCACCAAATCAACCAGAATAACTCAATCAACATCTTCCCTGATTGATAATATTTAACCCTAACCCTAACCCTAACCCTGACAACTGATTTATTTAACGAATCTCTTAAAATAGGCATAATTAAAAGTGACATTTCTGATCACTTCCCTGTTTTCTTTTCCATTAATACTAAAATGGAAACGTCACCAAATATAAATCAAATTTTTGTTAAACGTATTTTTAATGAAAAGAGTTTGGAAACATTTAAAGAGCAATTGTCTCTTCTTCATTGGGGCACATTTCCAATTTAGATGATGCTAACCTGGCTTACAACAAATTTTTTTAAACTTTTTTTGATATATATGATGTTAATTTTCCAAAAATCAAAATACATTGTAAATTAAAAAGTATAAAATCCCCATGAATTACTAAAGGGTTAAGAAAATCATCCAAAATCAAACAAAAATTGTACATTAAATTCCTCAAACTAAAAACAGATAAAAGTAAAGCTATATATAAAAGTTACGCCAAACAATTCGAACGTCAAAGAAAAAATTAAAAAAAAAATTATTACAATGATTTACTTGAGAAATATAAATTAAATTCTAAGCGCACATGGGAAGTTATAAAGGAAATCACAGGCTGTTTTAAAATGAACACACTCACATTGCCTAAAACCATCAAATCAAATGATAAATTTTTGTATGATAAAGATGAGATAGCTAACGAGCTGAATAAATATTTTGTTTCTGTTGGACCAAATTTATCCCAAAAAATTCCTCAAGCAGTTAATCCAATAAGTAATCTTTTTATCCCTAATACATCGCAATTTAATTCGTTTGAACTAACTTTTGAAGAGTTTGAATGCGCTTTTAAAATGCTAAAACCCAACAAATCAGCAGGTGCGGATGATATCAATGTAAATATTGTTATTAAACCATATGAAATCATTAAAGATGTATTTTTTAAGATTTTTTCTTGTTCTATTAGGCAAGGAATTTTTCCTAACCAACTAAAAATAGCAAAGGTGATTCCGATATTTAAGGGAGGTGATTTAACTAATGTTAGCAACTATCGTCCCATTTCTATTCTATCTGCATTTTCAAAAGTCTTGGAGAGAATTTTATACAACAGAATTTATAATCATTTATCTGTAAACAATTTAATATATAGCAATCAATATGGATTCAAAAAAAATAACTCGACAGAACACGCAGTTCTCCAGTTTACAAGAAGTATTACTAACTCTTTTGAAAACTCCCAATATACAGTTGGGGTTTTTATTGACGTAGCTAAAGCTTTCGATACAATAGACCACAACATTCTTTTAAATAAACTAAAGATTTACGGTATAAACGGAAGTGTTTTATATTAGTTAAAAAACTATTTAAATAATCGAAAGCAATTTGTATACGTTGATGTAGTTTCACCAGTAAACTTGCTTGATATAACCTGTGGAGTTCCTCAGGAATCAATATTAGGGCCTCTTCTTTTTCTTATTTACATCAACGATCTCCATAAAGCCTCAAATTTAATGACGATTATGTTTGCAGATGACACGAACTTATTTTTATCTCATAATGATATTACATTGTTATTTCAGAATATCAATAATGAACTAGTAAGAGTTTCTGATTGGTTTAAGACAAATAAACTGTCTCTTAATATTGATAAAACGAAATGGATTTTTTTCCATCCAAATCACAAAAAAAAATTTATACCAAATGAAATGCCACTGCTTTTTTTTGATAATATACTTCTAAAAAAAGTAACAGTTACAAACTTTCTTGGTATTTATATTGATGAAAATTTGTCATGGAAAAGTCACATAAAAAATTTGAGTAGTAAAATATCAAAAAGCATAGGAATTTTGTACAAAGCAAGGTGTTTTTTAAATAAACATACATTACTTAAACTATATTATTCGCTCATTCATTGTCACATTAACTATGCGAACATTGCGTGGGGTAGTACTAATAAAAGTAAACTGGAACCTCTTTATCGTCAACAGAAACATGTTGCACGCCTTATTAATTTTAAGGATTGATTTACTCATGCCAAGCCTCTGTTAATTGAAATGAAAGTCTTAAATATATATAGCTTAATATTTTTAACGTTATATGTTTTATGTTTAAATGTAAAAACAATATATCTCCTGTACCTTTTTACAATTTGTATAACAAAAAAGAAAAAACTAAGTACATTTTACGAAATGATAATAATATTCGTCAATCAGCTTATCAAACTAATTTTGGAAAATACTGTATTTCATTTCGTGGAGCATTACTTTGGAATAAAATAGTTTTAAAGAATTTTGACTTTTCTCATGAAGTTAGCTATCACTCTTTTAAACAAAAACTTAAAAAAGTCATTTTTTTATTAGATGATATATCTATATTCTTTTAATTTTTTGTTTCTTTTTTAACTTTATATTTAACACTGCATTAATAAATTTTATAATTTAACAATTTGTAAATAGTTGTTTAACACTTTTGTTAAAGGTATCTTAAAACTGTATAACAAAACCTTTAACAAAAAGTTTAACAATTGTGCTAAAGATATCTTAAAACTGTATAACGCATCTATGTATTTATAACGGAACCGTTTTTCTTTTTCTTTTTTTCTTTAAATTTGTTTATGTTTTCAATTCTTAATTCTTAATTGTTTGTTATCTTCAAGTATGTTAAGTATATATTCCTATTGAAAGTTTATTTATTTTGAGAATATTTTATTAATACGAAATATTAACACAAAAATATTTTAGCGGTTCTCGACGACAAGACCTTACGGTCTTCTACGAGTTCCCGCGTTCTTTTATTTCTTAATAACGATCATGTATATATATATATATATATATATATATATATATATATATATATATATATATATATATATATATATATATATATATATATATATATATATATATATATATATATATATATATATATATATATATATATATATATATATATATATATACATTGTTAACGAATATTTATTAAATCACAAAGTTGTAAAATTAAAGAACAAAAAAAAAAAAAAAAAAAAAAAAAAAAATGAAGTACTTTTTATAAAAAGTACAATCAATAACCTTCTATACATAAAATAAATTGTTAGAAGATTAGTTAATTTACTAATCTTCATATATTTTAATCACTAATATATTTTGATAATTTTTTTTTTATAAAGTAAGTGTTTAATAGTTCTTTTTGGAATTTGATGTTTTGCTTACATAAACTTCTTATATTTTATTCACTAATATATATACTAATAATTCTTCAAGTTAGTCGAGTTTTCTAAAACGCCTTACAAAATTTTTTATGAATATAATTTGCGAATAATATATTAACAAGTATAATTAAACACTACGGCATGGGGGTATATCTACATTGGCTACGTCATGGGGGGAGGGGTCAAGGTGGCATTTTCCAACAAAACCAACCTTTAACAATTCAAAAATTTTTAAACTTTTTTGAAAGTGAGTAACCTGAAGAAAATTTAAATGGTTGTAATCTTATCCCAGCAAACATGTAAGCGTTGAATCAACGTTGAAAACCAGTCGCAGCGTAGAAAAAGCGTTACAGTCACAAAAACAACGTGCTTTTAACGTTGAATCAATGTCTGTTTTTGTATACGAAATCGCGGTAAATTGAAACGTTGAATAAGCGTTGAAATTGTAACGTAATTTAGCCTCTCAAAATAAAACGTTTATTTAACGTGGAATCAACTTACGCAAAAAGCCACTTTAAAAACGTTTCGAAGTATATTCTTAATCAACGTTAAAGACAAACCGCCTTTTAAACGTTACATTTTCAACGTTGAATAAGCGTATAAATTTAAACGTATCTTATCTTCTCAAAAAAATGCGTTTATTAAACGTTGAATATAAGTACGCAAATAATCGCTGTAAAAACGTCGCAAAGGTAATGGTTTATCAACGTTAGACATT